TTTTTGTAATTTTTTTTTTTTGGTGCTATCGGCTTGTTCTTTCATTCCTATATAGTTGCGTCTTCTATTTAGTGTTATTGCTGCTGTTAACTAGCGCTTTTCTTCGTTTTTTTGCTGTTCATTCAAATTTGTTCCAGTGGCTTTCTTTTAACTTGTCTGCAATTTTTGATGCTGTAAGCGAATGGATTTGACTTTAAATTATTTTATTTATACTTAGGTTTACATAAGCTTGAGTTTATACTTAACTTGATGTTTTTAATGTTGCACTTATTTATTTCAATAAACGATGTTGAAGATTTCATATTTTTTCTTTAGTTTTCTGATTTTTCGCTCTAGTAGATAGTACTTTGATAATATCTTTTCGTTTTTAGTGCTTTTAGTTAACAAGATGAATATATATTTAAATATACATATGTATACTAACTTAGTAAAGGCTAACATCTCAAATGATACGTATTAAATTTTTGTCTGAAATCGGGGAAGTGAGACCGAATAAGTTATATTGAGACATTTAAACTATGCTATTTAAGGTAATTGCATGTCATGCAAGTATGATTTCAAAAATATTTTTAATTATTTAAGTTAATCATTTTGTAAAATTGCGTAAACTGTTGCATACATTTAGGGTTTTTTTCTGATTTAAAGCTTTTGTGGAAAACAATTATTTCTTCATGCTTTATTTAAACTTTTGTGTGTATGTTTAGATGGCGGAGAAGTACGAATAAAAATTTTACTAAATGGAATTTTAAATAAATAAACTTCTAATATAATAATAATATATAAAAAAAATATGTTCATCATAATTCCACATTCGCTGTGTCCCCTTCCTATCATAGGAATACCTCTATTCAAAATTTCTTCAGTCAATTCGAGGCGTCAAACAACCCTGCAAGAGATGGCATTTCACTTACTTATGAGCGGTATGCACTCTTAGTTTATGACCTACGGGTTGTCAGGTAACTTTGTAGTGGTGTGATGTGGAAGCTGTACGAGAACCTGGATTAACGACGATAAGAACTGCGCTGGTATTTTAATGTTAAATGCAATAAAACATGTTGCCTTGTGTTTCACACCCTGGGTAAGAAAAATAGTTTAAAAAAAAATAACATGTGGAATACATCAGTGCTGGACAAATCAAATAAAATTATTGAAGTCGCACTTTATGGTAAATGTGATTGATATATTACTCTTCTCAATTAGATTAAATGGCAAATAAATATTTAACAAATAAATATAATTCTCATATTAGTTTTAATGACAAATATTGCATAAAAGAGTGAAAATAATAAAAAATAAAAATATGATTACCTCTTCAGCCCTCACATTCTTGGTTGGTGGTTATTTGGTTGCAGTTGCACCTCAATTAGTGATTTTCTATACCCCTAGTCTTCTATAGAGTAGAGACTAAATCCATCTCGTAGAATTTAGGATGTAAGGTCCTTACATTGATACAGCAAAATTAACATATCACTGCGAATATCACTAAGAATTATTGTACAGTTCAAGTTTATTTATTTTTTAAATTTTTTACTTAAAGAAAAATTTCAGTACGATTATCTTTTCTGAAATATTATTGTCATTCCGATCTAATGATATCTGAAATATTTACTTGTAAATTTCACAAGAAAAATGTTTACATGTAATGATTTTAAAATAAAATCCTCAATATTAAGTCGCCTCATTTAGTTTTTCATTTTGTACTTAGAGATTAATTTTGCTTAAGCGTAAAAAAATATTTAAAAAATTATTGCAGTTCGTGCCACCAGAAAAGCATGAAGGAGGCATAAAATTTAGAATTATTTAAGCGTTCAGAAATTCGATAAATTTTCACAAATTATGCGCGATACAACAAGAACAATCTTTTGCCTTTAGGCAACTTCGAGTATATTTTAAAATTTATATTTGAGAGACTTTGGCAGGTGTCATATCAACGTCGTGATTGTCTGTCTACAGCATTTGATAAACATGATAGATACCATCTGAAAACAATACGAAACAATTAACAAGTGCAAACAGCCTGAACAGAAATAAACTAATTGTTTGAGAAAAACAATAGAAGTGTGTAATTAAAGATGAAAGCCAAATTGATGAGCCAAATTGCTAAATCATTTAGATAGTCGTCTTATAGTAATTATTTTTGCATAACGATGCGAGTGAATAATATTTACAATCGAGAATAATATATTCTCTATTATTATATATAATAAAATATAAATATAATTTGATAAAAAATATACAAATAGAATAGAATACTAATAGATATAATGTTTTTCAAATAAAACAGAGTATCTACTTTAGTTAATTTCGGGTAGAGACTTTTTCGGATTTGAACACAATGGTCTGCTGACTGAGAGCAGTGGTCTTATCTAGTTCTACAGTCTTCGGAAATATTTATAGTTTTTTATATTATGTGGAATATTTATTGCTATATTTTTATATATTTCTAGATAAAGAATTAAACAAGTTCTAAGCATTTCTAGTAATCGCGCAATAAACCATAGCATAAAAGGCAGAAATCAGTCACTCTTAGATGTCGATCATGATATTTATTCCCAACGATAATGGTGCTTGATAAATATATAAAAAAATGACCAATACATTTATTATAAGTCCACCTGTCTGATTTTGAATATTTTGTACAAAAAGGTGTTGTTACATGATTTTCAGAATTAGATGGGAATTTTCTGCAAAAAGCAGGTCTTTGTAGACATGTTGGACAATGCCGATTTTAGTTCTTTCGATATTTACATTCATATATTCAATATTCTATAATAATAGGTGATTCAATATGTATTTACGAGAAATAATAATATTATTGGGTATAGAAATATTTTAATAGTCATTTAAGTGTTGAACAAAAAATGAGGAGCAAATGAAAGGAGTTTCTGGAAGTCACTCTAGAGAGATTAATGTGTTATTAAAAATGCAAAAGAACGGTTTTCAAACATTTGTATGAGAAAACTTGTGGAAGAGTAATTTGTGTAATTTAATTGCTGATATAAGATTATTTAAGGTTAAAAACACTAATAATACCATTAATCAATAAATCAAATTCACGAGATCTTTTTGTTTCCGACTTTATAATGATATGGCTATACTAAACTATCAACTTGAGGAAGATTGAAGGAAGTAAGTAAAATTAGAGGGAAGATCTGTAGACCAATAACGAAACTGTTTCAAAGAATATTTTCATTTTTTCCTTCAAAATGCCAGCATAGAGCAGATGTGTTGCGTTAAATGGATTATAATTTAATTTATATATGTATAGATGTGTATATAGATGTGTATACTCGTATATCAAAGTTTGGAAGTAAAGAACTTAGTCTCAATCTCTCTTGTAATACTGAATTAACTGAAGCTTTGTCTAAATTTTTATACAGTTTTAAACTAATGTCGTTAAAAGATCTTTAAATAATTGGAAATCTTTTTATAGAAATTTGAAGCATTAATAGGAATCAGAAATAAACTGAGGAATTTTGATGAACTGCATCTATACAAAAAATGAATAAACTTATGAATAAGTAATTTTCTGAAGATATATGAAACCACTAATCACATATAGGAACATAAACTCTATATTTTTATTACAAAAGCAACATACAAGTTTTCTAAATCAACATTTTTAAATAAATTGATAAACAGACCCTTTTTCTTTTTATAAGTATTTCTATTTTTTATAGACCACTATTCCCATAACTAATGCGTTCCATTTTTATCTGATCTTATGCGATGGCTTTCCAATTACGCCCATTCAACGATTGTGAAAATTATATATTTAATAATAATACATCATTGATCTAACTTTTCCTTGAGCTGCCTCCAACACACTCGTCAATCTGTCCTATTGTAAGTTTGTTTAGCTTGTTCTGCCACTTGCTTGGGATGCATTCATTACAGAATGCCTTAGCCATTTCAAGCGTTGAAACTTGATGTATTTTATAAGATTCTGCTCGTTTATTATATGAGCGCGCGGTCTATATACACAACGTATATGCATATATATATTTATGTGAATATATTTTTTAATAAATAAAACTTATGAATTTCTATAAATTTTCATTTGTTATTATAATAAAATTAGAAACAAAACTATCGAGAACATATGGAAGTTCTGGCCAATGTAAAAATAAACAATACGAAATAAAAATCAAATCCAAGAGAAAAGATAAATAAAATAAAAAAGTTTGTGTTTCAGAGAACAAAGTAATTAAAAGTTTTTCTAAATTTACAAATATATAAAATTTTCTCTACTCTCATTTCCATGTCAAGCGAGTCAAGAAGCACAATTAAATTTAGTGTAAAATTTGTATCTGAAGAATTTGTTAGTTTCAAAAACATTAAATGCACCATTAAAGATTATTGGTGGAAAACAAAAGACAAATGCAAAATGTCGGAAAATTAGGCTAGAAAAATTGATTATATGCTCACAGTTGCGGTCGAGTATTGTAGAGATTAAGTCGACGAAAGCAGCACGTTGCGCCGCAAGACCAACTGATTACGCAAAAATAAACTCAATCCAAACGGTTTTGTGTGAAAAAGTGGAATATTTCAAAAGAAAAACTGAATAAGTGAAAATCAGCAAATAATTTCTGCAGTGTTTAATCGATATTAAAAATGCCCAATCCAGCAGCTTTTACACCATTAATAACTGATGCTCAACTCTCTAGCGTGACGTCAACGCCAGAATTGGCACGACTGCTTGATTTGCACTTGGGAAAATATCGTCAAAGTGATCCTGCTTGGGAAGTAGCTGAGTCTGTCATATCAGGTCGCGGTATATTCGCACGGCGTGATATAGCCGCTTGCGAAGAATTATTTCGCGAACACACCTTACTAGTCGGTCCCACAGCGCACAAAAACACCAAACTGAATACCTGCGTCATATGCTATTGCCTCATTGAAGGACCTGATGTGCTCTGTTTAGCTGGTTGCTCACTGCCTGTTTGTAGAACATGTAGTCAATCGGAACAGCATGAAAAAGAATGCAAACTTTTTCGTAAATGGATACCCAAAGACCTAACTCAAATAAATCCCTGTTCACTGCGTATTTTATCGACGATTCGTTGTTTCTTCCTAGACGAAGATCAACGCAAACTTTTGTATGCAATGCAGGCCAATGCGGATAAATACTATTTACGTGAAGTTGCTAACGCCTCCGCTTGCTTTAAATATTTTCCCAAAGATCCTGAAATGTTGGACTATTTTCATCGCACCATCTGTGCTTTCAATACAAATGCGTTTGAAGGTCGCAGTAAAGTGAATGGACATGAAATCATGGTGCGCGCGCTCTTTCCATTGGCTGGGCTATTGAACCATGAGTGCACACCGAATGCTAGTCATCATTTCGAGAATGCTGAGACAATAGTGGTGACATCAACGCGTGCAATAGCTAAAGGGGAAGAAATCACAACATCATACACCAAAGTTTTATGGAGCAATTTGGCGCGTAAACTATTTTTAGGTTTGACTAAGCATTTTACGTGTCACTGCAGGAGATGTCAAGATCCCACGGTGAGTATCGAAATGAAGCTAATAGATTCGAATAATTATAATGTTAGCATTTTATTATTTTTTATAAAAACTTTTCAAGTACTGTGAAGTGTGTGCAGCAACAGAATTTCAGTTTGTTAATCGTGCAAGGCATAAAATTTAGCAGGCAATTAAGTTTTGCCATAAGTGAAAAATAAATTCTCAAAATGCTTGTTCACGTCTAGTACATAAATTTTTTTTTTTCACTAGAAGGCTTTTGTCTAATTTATTCATATCATTTGCTGCTTTTCATTCACAACTCATTGAAGACAATGGCAGTGGGTCTTCTGTTGTTTCATAAATAAAAAAATGGCTTTCACGCTTTTTGAACGCGTGCCTACGCAAGCTTTTTTATGCTTTTTTATCAAACATGTTTGATGCTTTTTTAAGCAATAAAAGCTGTGCTTTTGGTAAGCACCATAGTTCCTTTTATATAGCATGCTAGAGAAGTTCTCTCAGCTTTTGTAGCATGATATAATTTTGGTTTTTAAAAACAATGAAATACATTTTTATGATGTGTAAAAATGTTATTCTTGACATTTAGTTGAATTAGTTATTGATATATGAGATATAGATTTACTATATCTGTGAAATGAAAATACTCAGAAAAATTTTTGACCCCGTGAAAGAAAACGGGATGCATCGCATAAGAAACAACTACGAGATATAACGTCTAACTGAAGATAATACAATCAACAAATTTAAGAAAAAGCAGCGATCAAGATGAGTTGGACATGTGATACGAATGCCGGATATGAGAACATAGGAACCAGCAGAAGAAGAAAGCAATGGAAAGACAGTGTGCAGCAGGACTTGGAAGAAATGAACATAAAAAATTGGAAAACAAAAGCAAAAACAGAGAAAAATGGAAGACTGTTGTTAAATGAGCTTAGGTCCTATATGGACTATATAGTCACGAATGATGATAATAACTCTGATGAAATTGTATTGGAGAAAATTAGTTTCACTAGAACTCAACTCAATGTTTATGGTAGTAGCTTGTGCTTTGACTTGTAACACAAAATATATTTTGACACATCAAGTATATAGCAAGAGGATTATATTTTTAGATGACGACAAAAGCGATTAATTTTTAAATAAATAAGTAAAACTAGAACCAGACAGTATGTTTCTGAAACTGGAGTTTTTATCATTCTGACAACTTGGGTGTAAAGATATTAATAGCATTACTTAGCTGTCATCTTATTTTTGTGGAATACATAAAATATGAAATTTGAAACGAGTATTAAATAAATCATTATCGTTAAACTAAAAGCTAATTCACTGGGATTTTTCAAAATTGAATAGAAGTTTAGAAAGGAATAGTTATATACATTTTAGCATTTTTATACTTGTCTTAATCTTTTGCAGTTGCGGGTCTCTAAGGGAACCACGATCAGCAACAAATAGCTACTGTGTTCTTGTTCAGCACAGAAGAATAAAATACTTTAATACATTATTATCAGGTGGAAGATACCTCATATACTGTCAATGTGGTTCTAATAATTTGTGGCAGCAACATATTGATTTATCAGGAGTTAATAATTTATTAAGACATCCTACTTATCTTCTGCATATTGGAGTCCAAATAGTGTGCTGACCAGTAAACCTATCTACCATCATCATATCTCATATTACAGTATAGTCCCAAAGTAAAAGTTTCACGTGATCTTTTCAAGACAATATCAAACTCATTACATTTAGGTAACTCGGACAGTCGCGTGCCAAGTTTTGCATGTGTTCGGGGCGTCAACTTATAGTAGCGTTACTATATAAAAATAGAAAATCCGAGATGAAAGTGTTTTTCACGTGCGCCAAAATTCTTTTATGTATCTTGACTACAAGAATTATAATAAAAATAAATCTGCGAATATTCAAAAATAGGTGTTGAGAGAGAAGTAAGGGAAGTACGAGTATGTGTTTACAAATTATTAGACAAATGAATGAATGCATATTCTTAACAGTTAGTATATTTTGTAGTTTATTTGCGTCATTCATAAGTTTTTAAAAATTTCTTGTAAATAAATCATTTAATAGTTTTGTTGACATTGCAGTAAAGCTAATATAAAGTACTTATTCTGAAATTTCTAAAATAGTTTAAATTTGAAATTCAAAATAAATGTATAATTAAGCTAATTATTTTTCCTTTTTCTACATAAAACTTTTTTAATACTTTAAAAGTAATACACATTCCATGCATAATTATTTTCTAATTTCTACACGGTACAGGTATGCTAATGAATACTTCACTTAATAATGTGGACTTAATGCGTCACTTAAAGCCACATACAAGGATCTATAAGTAGCAACCCTGGTACTTAAGAGTTCCGTTTACTTTAATATTCAAAGTTTATAATTATGATCATGATATTATTGAAAGTTCCTCACCAGAAAATGTTTTTTACATATATATATTTTTCTCGACTTCGACAGAAAATTTATTTTCAACAGTAAGATATGTCTTCGGGAGGGTTATCAAAAGAAAAACTTCCAACAAATCAACTTACGGCTTTAAAAAGATTTCCTGAGGAACTGAAGGCATAATTATAGAAAAAACTGTTTGACAGCAGTATTATGTTTCCAGTAATAGTTGTTGCCATGTTATAAAGCTATAGCTTGCCATGAAGTGGTTAATACATTTAAGTTAACCTCAATAAGTTACATTTTAGCTTTTACAATAATACTTAATACTGCTTCAATACTTAACCTGCTTTAAAGTCTATGAGATTAATCCAACTTTCATCACAAATTTTGGTTGCTATATGCAATGTAGCTGATTCTCGATCGCAGTCTTAACGCTCTTAATTGCAAAACTAAAAATCTAGTCAGACAAACTTGCTTAAAAATGTCGAAAAAATTAAGTGGGTCTCTAGGATCACTAACAAAATTATATAGATATAACTCACAATATATATGATTGTGTGAAATCTGTTACTAAATTGTTGCATTTTTATCTGATAAAATATGACATCTTATTTTTTTAAGCAAATGCAATAAATTAATGATTAATATATATTATAAAGTAATCCAACTATTAAAATTTGTTTTGTGAAAAATTCTGTTAAACTACTAGTGTGTCGTCGCAACCATGTTTAACTCTCTCTACGTCTCTTCTCATTTGTATGTCTGAAAAAGAATGTCAGCTCTGCTTAGAAGCAAATGAATGTTCTATTCATATTATTTATCACCATCCCTAGGCCTGGTGTTCCTATTCCCATTTTATTTTGAGATGAACTGGGGGTCTTCTGTTCAGATAGCAACATAGAAAATATACCTTAGTCATACTACTGTATTTACTAAAAGTTTATTTCATTCTAATCAAATCACTAATGGAACTTTAGTCCATGCAAATTAGAATTCTAAGATTATCAAATTGAATGTGAGTGATATCTTCAGTGTCTATTACTGTATATATAGTTCATTTCATTGTAGTGCTAGCCAAAGTAACGTCGAAATAATTCAACATTTCCAGAACAAGGTTCTACGGAACATTTTAAAAGCGCCATGGTATGTTAGGAACAGCGACTTACACCAGGATCTAAAATTGTCCACAGTCGCTGAGGAAATAAAAAAGAAAGCAACAAGTCACAAACTGAGGTTGCAGCAATATGTAAATACAGTTAACATCATAGCCTCGTATGGGCAACCAAGACGACTAGACGACAGTTAATATATCAATATAATATAATACTGTTCTATTTAGAAATTGTATTTGATTGTAAAAAGGTGAGAATTTGTACTGAAATAGTGATGTTATTGACTGTTGATGTTGATGTTGGTGTAGAGATGTAAAGAAATTTATTGTATCATAAATTCTAAGCAATAAATATGTAATATGTTCATAGGCAAAATATCAAATATTTCCATTTACAAAGAATTTACTAAATTTTTCAAAATAAAAATAATAAATAAACAAAAAGAAAATAACATAAAAATGCACATAAAGAAAATATATATTTAAAAAGCCGCATTGATAGAGGCAAAAGCAAATAATTCAGAAAATTTGTTCTAAATCTCAGCAGTACAAAGCAGAAATTGCAATAAAAATAATTTATTTATTTTAAAAATGCCTTCAACTCATACGAGCAATTTGTATGAAAACCATACAAATTTATAATATTTTACATCGAGTACCCAACATTGCAAGGCCAGGACAGGACAGGCCAGGCCATGTATCTGCCGCACACGCAGATACATAAAAATTTCATTTTTCGATACGTCAAAAACCTTAAAAATATGCGACAAGTGCATCTGCAGACGAATCATCTGAGTTTCCCAGAGGCTCACAGAGGCTCGCAGAGGCTCGCAGAAGAACAACAAATTAGATTTGTCTCATTTAGAAATCAACATCAACACAGCAAACATCGAATAATCCAAACCGAACCGAACCAATCACCAAAACCAGAATTGCCATTCAGTCCCTCAGCGATTGACACTGCGGCTTCGTCATCGAAATTGTCATATGCCAGACGCTAACACATGAACGACGAAAATCCGATTAAAAATCGAGCAGAACGGGGCTGGCGCGCTGTTCGAATGAGTGTGGCGACGAGTCAAGACAAGAACCAAAAACAGTTTGTGCGGAAAATTGAAATGATGACGATTTCAGCATTTCACCATTTCAGCATAGCGGCGGCACGGCACAGTTGGGCAGCAGTGACGGTGGCAGCGCATATTGGAAACAACATTTTCATGTTTTCATATTTACGCGACTTTTTCAAATCTTTTTCAGTTGCTTTTTTGTATCTGGTAGATTTTTTTTTTCTTTTTGTTTTTGTTTTTGTTTTTGGCTCGTTGTTGTTTTGCTTTCTTAGCGCAGCCGAGCAATTGAAATTACAAAAAAGGCCCAAAAGTTATTGTTAATGAGCTACGCGGATAGTCGTTTGCTGAAAATCGCATAATGTGGACGTTTCAAAGCTAAAAAACGGAACCAGTCGAGAATAAATAAAATTTTATGTAAAACAGTGCAAACGCATTCATAT